GACCTCTGCAGGGGCCCTGAGGGGGAGAGGGAGCTGCTCTGGGGAGGGGTGGGCAGGAGGGTCAAGGTGGAAGGAGAAGCAAACAGCCTACCACGGCGAGCCCGGGGCCACTGTCACAGCCCCCCACTTCCAGCAGCAGCCCAGCAAGTGCTCTCAGGGGCCCCCAAGGTGGTGGGGTCATGTGGGCTGTGTGATGTGGGGTCAGGCTTTGAACCCCACTCCTCCCAGGAGAGGCAGTGAGGTGCCATGGCGGGCGTGCCATGGCCTGAAGGTCCGCGAGAGACCAGCCTGCTGGCACCCCCCAAGGCAGGAGGGGTGTGTGTGGGGGGGGAGCAGATGCTGGGGACAACCCTGGGTTCCATCTGGGGCTCCGCACGGCCCAGGGGCCTGACGAGTTGAACATTAACCCGGGAGGAGCGGTCCCGGCAGGCACACCTTGTCACATGTCACTGTAGTCACCTGCCGGCGGCCCGGGGCTGACAGCCCCGCCTGGCACTGCCACCACCAAGGCCAGGGGCTCAGTTCCAGGGCGGGCCTGGGTTGAGTCCTGCCCTCTGCTGCCCCCTTCAGGCTGTGTGGCGCCCGCCAGGACCTGTCCTTGCCAAGGCTGCCTGATCCCAGGGCCTTCCTGAGAGCACTGGCCACAAAGGCCAGCAGGAGTCAGGAGCGGGGCTGGGCTCAGCATTTAGGATTGGACTCCAGGAACGAGAAGCGAACAGCCGTTACCGACCACACGTGCCTGCCTGGCCCCGGCATCATTTGGCTGCTTTGTTGAGTCCTCAGGGAAGTGGACACAACTACTTCAGAGCCCAGGAAACTGAGCTGGAAAGTGAGGGAGACAGGATTTGCCTCAGGCTTCTTGACTGTTGCCCTGGTCCCTGACCCCAAGCATCATCTCCCTCCAGCCCCACCCAGTCTCCTCAGGGAAGTAGCCTGGGCCCCGCTGATGGCCTTGGACATTGGGATCAGCCACCCAGGCCTTGTCACCACCCTTCCCGAAGGGCCTCCTGTCCTTCCTTGTCTCTAGGACTTTGCACATGTCGTCTGGCTCCCTGCCACGTAGGTTGATGAACTCTTACCCATCCTAAAGAACTCTTCTTTTTTTTTTTTTTTTGAGTTTTATTTATTTTTTTTTAATAATTTTTTTTTTTAATAGAGGCATGCTTTATTTATTTGTTTGCTGGTTTGTTTGTTTTGTTTTGTTTATACATGCACTGGGCACAGTCAGAAGCGCGGGAGGGTGAGAGGATTCACCAGAGCCAGAGCGGGGAGCAGAACAGGCAGAAGGACCGAAGGACACTGCTGGGGGGAGCAGCGGGCGGCAGGAGAGGTCTGCGCGCCATGCGGGACCCTCCTCCAGTGGCCGGGGAGCAGCCGGGGATCGAACCGGCATTGCAGAGGCCGCGGGCAGCTTCGCAACCCAGCGCTCAACCGCTGCGCCACCGGGGAGGCCCTAAAGAACTCTTCTTAATCTCACCTCCTCCTGGAGCCCACCTGGATTGTCCACCAGAAATGGGGGCTTCTCCTCCATACTCATCAGTGCTTCCCACGCGCCTGCTCCAGCACTCTCACATGCCCTTCTGCTGTGTCCCTGCTCTTCGCTCTGTGCCTCTGGAGTGTCCAGTGTTGGTGGTCAAGTGGGGAAGGCTGTCAAGGGGGCAGGTAAATGGGAGGGACCCCAGGTGGGCAGCAGAGCCCAGCCCCATTGGCCTGGGGCAGGGGCAGGTGCCGTTGCCCCCCGCCCCCAGGCTGAGCCCTTCCCCGGGTCACTTGCACTGGTTCGTCCTCTGCTCATCCTCTGACCCAGGACAGCTGTTCTGACAAGAGGAGGAAATAGGGGCCTCCCAGGTGGCTCAGGTTAAAGATGGCCCTATCAAGCTATTGGCAGCCACTGCAGCATGAGTTCCATCCCCGCTGGCCAGGGAGCTACCCACACGGCGCAGCAGACCTCTCCTGACTCGCCCGCTGCTCCCCTTAACAGTGCACTTAGGTCAATCTGCCTGTTCATTTTTTTTTTTTTTATAGAGGCATGTTTATTTATTTATTTGTTTGTTTGTTTATTTTGTTTATACATGCACTGGGTACAGTCAGAAGCGCGGGAGGGTGAGAGAATTCACCAGAGCCAGAGCGGGGAGCAGAGCAGGCAGAAGGACCGAAGGACACTGCTGAGGGGAGCAGCGGGCGGCAGGAGAGGTCTGCGCGCCATGTGGGACCCTCCTCCGGTGGCCGGGGAGCAGCCGGGTATCGAACCGGTGCTGCAGAGGCTGCGGGCAGGTTCGCAACCCAGCGCTCAACCGCTGCGCCCCCGGGGAGGCCCTAATCTGCCTGTTCAGTTCCCCACTCTGTCTCTGGTGAATCCTCTCACCCCCGCACCTCTGGCCTGCACCCCAGTTCTTGTGTGCATAAATAAATCAATCTTAAAAAAACATTAAAAAAACAAGAGGAGGAAATAAAAGCCACTCTGTTTGGTTTATGGGAGAGTGACCGGGGAAGGCCTGCTCCGCCCTGCCAGGCTCGGGGCAGAGAAGCCAACACCTGGCATCCCCTTCTTGGCCCCCGAGAACCAGGCTGGAGTTTTCAGGGGCTGGGAGGCGGGGCCGGGAGGCAGACCCTGAGCCCTGGCCGGGAAAGGAATCGCGTTTCTGTAAATAGAACGCCCTCGAGTCACTGCAGCCCGCCCTCCCCTCCCAGGACAATTGTCCCTCGGGCGACCACAGGGACACCACAGGGCCCCTGCGCTGCCTGGATCACCTGTTTCCACAGGCCTGGCCGTGGGCCCCGCTCCTGGCCATCTTCCTGTCTAACTCACATTTGGGATCAAGGAGGGTCTGTACCCCTCAGGGCCACAAACACACAAGACTTACTTTGAGAGCGGCACCTCGCCCACTTTCCAGCCCCGAGTATATATGTATTTTAAGTTTTATTTTTATTTATTTGCATATAGAAGAACTGGGGTGTAGGCCAGAGTTAGGGGGTGAGCAGACTCACCAGAGACAGAGCGGGGAGCAGAACAGGCAGAGTGACTGAAATCCACTGCTGAGGGGAGCGGCGGGGAGGCAGGAGGGGTCTGCCGCGCTAGCGTTCGTCCCCTGCAGGCTCAGCTTCTGCCTGGCTTGGCTCCCAGGGCTCACGGAGAAGACTACTGTCGTCGTGGGTGACCTCCGTTTTGTCCAACGTCTGGGCCTCTCAGAACCAGGATGCTCCCCCCTACCCAGACTCCTTGGGGACCTTGTGGTCATCACCGTAGACACGGCCTTCCAAATCCCGAGGGACCGCTCGCCCCTCTGCCATATCCCCGGCACCCCGTCCCCCGAGGCCCCCGCCAGGCTGAGGGCCTCACACCTGCGGGAGTGTGGCTGCCGGCCTGGGCTCCTGGGGGCGCCTCCCACACGCCCGGTGCCCACCGATGACCGCAAAGGCTTCTGATGCGGCCCGTGAGGCTCCACCATCAGCCCGTCTGCTCTCAAATCTCCTTCATGCTCCTGGCACTCCGGGGGGCGCTTTGCCTCCTCCTTGCTCAGATGACTTCGCTTTCTACTTCACAAAGTTGGAGCCGCCCCCCACCTTCTCGTTTCCAGTGAAGACCGATCTGGATCTCGGCTCCTGCAGCGCCCCCCCATCCCCTCCCTACCCCCCCGCCCCCACCTCCGGCCCCCACCACGCAGCGACTTCCCTGCTCGGCATCCTCTGAGGACTCATCTCCCCCACGCCCGTCTGGCCGTCAGCCCTTCTCCTCCCCGCCCCCAGGCGCCCCTCCCGGCTCTCTGCAGGCCACCCCTGTCCCGGGGCCCACGGTGGCCTCTGTCCCGGGGTCTCACCTGCTCCTGGCACCTGGAGGACTCAAATCCGGCCCCACCCCCAGCCCCTGGGGCAACAGGCTCACCAGACATGGACAGTGACCTCACTCCTGCCACTCGGGTGACCCGTGCGCGGGCTCAGCCTGGAAACCCATCCAGCAAACCCCGTGGCCCCCCGGGTGCCCGAGCCGACCCCGTCAGCAGAGCCACACGACGGAGAGGGCTACCCCCGCCCCGAGGCAGAACCACTGCTGCAACCCTGCAGAGCTCACCTTCCAGCAGGACAGCATCTGAGCAGACCGACCCCCGAGTGGCGCGTGGGCCTCTCCCTGCAGAGCCGCTCGCTCTCCCGTGTGCCTGCGGGTGCTGTCCCGGGAGAGGGCAAGCGGCAGTGGTGCAGAAGCGGGGAGGCGGCCCTGGGATGACCCTGTCCCAATCCTGCCCATCACACAGCCTGCCCTTCCCACGATTCAAGCTCCCTCGCTTCTGGGCCCCCTCGCCTGCATCCCGGGATCCTGTCACCATAACCATGCGTGCCAGGGACTGGCAGCTCTGGGCGCCACTGGCTCAGCACCAAAATTGGGGTGCAGCGACCGAGTTGGCACCTGAGACACAGACATCACCCCAGGGCCCTGGGCTGTGCTACGAGCAGCTCCCACAGATGAAGCTGAGACAAGTGGCTGAGGAGCCGGGTCTGCCGCAGCGCTGCCTACGCCGACTGGCTTGGCGCACCCTGATGGTCCTCGCGGGTGGAAGCTGCGGCCGAAGTCCCCTGGCCTGGGACCAGGCCTCCACTTTGACCTCGTGCCAGCAAGGGATCCAGGTGAGCCGCTCGCTTGGGGCCACTCGGATGTGGCAAAGCTGGGGGAGCTCAGGTTTCCTGCGCCCTGACCCAGCCAGACCCTCTCCAGGAGGGTTAGCTCCGGTAACTTGCAGGACAAAGGGGCTTGTTCCTGAGCTGCAGCCCTATCAGCTCGGCGAGGGGGAGCCATCCCCCCGGGGTGGCAGAGGGCTGGGGCTGGAGGACGGGGAGGGGGGCGGCCCCCGGGACCGAGGCTCACGCTGTCCCATACTGCGGGCAAGGCAGGGCTGAGGAGCTGGGCGGCTCCAGGCTCACAGACGCTGGAAGGCCAGAGACTAAAAATTTCTCCTTCACACGAAAACCTTGTGGAGAAAGTCGCCAATTTGATTTCTTCTTCTCAGAGAAGTGGACACCGGCCAAACTGTTTTAATTTCCGAATTTATTAAAATGATTAACCTCAATACTGCAAGTGCATGTACAAAATATTTGTAAAAAATGTTTTTAATGAAACGTTAAAGAACTTACCTCAAATGCAGAAAAAGTCCTTTTTTCATTCTTTCAGTACAAGGAATACATTGTATCTCAAAAGTATTACAACTCAGCAAAACAATTTAAAACAGTAATTTGAAAAATGATTGAAAATCGAATACTTTACATATACGTCTACGATCATTTCCTAATTCTCACAATGCCAAAAGTTTACCAATCATTGCATAAGCTCAAGCTAAGTTTTATTGAATGCCACCTCTTCCGAGGGGTCGCCAGCGAGGGCAGCGCCCACCCGCAGGGTGAAGCCCTGCAGGGAGCTGGGCAGCTCCGAGGCCCCTAGCTTTAAGAACGGAAATTAGGTTTCCCTGGAAGGCGCCGGCAGCGGCTGCCGAGCGCTTGTGCACACCGACTCCCGAGGCAGCGGCCCCCTGAACGCCACTGCCCAGACCCACGGGGAGGTCAGCCTCAAAGACGAGGCCGCAGTAAAAACAAACGTCATAAATAAGTCACTAAAATTAAGCTTAAACACAGAGAAAGGTGGGAAATGCAATCTTGTATTACCTCTTCCTTAAGACTGGAACTCCTGAAGTGGCTATTGTGGGTAGCCCGAGAGAGCTCAAGCTTTAGCTTCTGACCCTCCTCGAAATGCCCCAAACCAGGGTGGGGACAGAAGAGGTGACCCCGTGTGCTGGCACAAGGGTCTGAGCTTGAATTCCCCCAGGGGCGTGAGTCCCACCCGTCTCCCACACGGGACACGTGAGGCCTGAACTTGGTCTGCAAAGTGCTCCGAGGGACAGGCTGGGCCTGGCGGCGAGGACCTCTGGGGCGGAGGGGAGCGCGCACACCAGGCCCTCCACCGCCAGCTTCCTAAGCGATACCTGAGGGTTGGGCCTGCACCGCGCCGGAGACGGCAGGAGGCCGCACAGTGGCTCCTCCACGAAACAAGGAGAAACACTTCTACATTTAAAAGCCTTTTATGAGTATTACTAATTTCTATTTGGAAACTGCTGGCAACTGTTTTGAGGAACTGAATTTAACTGATGCCCCAAACCTGGAAACCAGGCATCAGTCAGCGCAGCAGTAAGCACCGGGCCTTCTCCCCCGGCGTCTCCGGCCTGCGGGCTCCTTTTAACGTTTCAGACACGCCCTGCTGGACCTTGCTTAGGGGCGCAGCGCGCCTGCCGCCAGTACAGGTCCCAGAGGCAGCAGACCCCCGGCATCCGCCCTGGGCACACATTTACATCCCCCAGTTCTTTGTCCAAAGATCTGTAAAATCATCCAGAGAAATGAAAGCCTGGTATTGGACATAAAGTAGTAATCAAAAACTTTGCTCATTAAGTTACTTAAAATTAATTTCTCTTCTCAAAAGTGCTTCAAAAAACAAATTAAAATCTGACTCCTCTTTTTTGTTTAACTGATAATATAGTCAAAAAAATCTTTGATATTTTCGTACATAAAATAACATAAGCCAAGAACTCCCACTGATGCAGTGCTTTAAACTATATATTTATAATTCCTATTTTATTGGCATGAGTATTTCTAAACTTAAAAACCTTCCTGGTAAGTTCTTTTAATTTCTTATGACAAAAATTTCTCACAACACACAAATATTTACAACATACACATTGTTTTCAGTTCTTTACATTGAATTCCAGACAAACATTTTTATAGGTTACCACAGAACAAAAGCTGTGACTCAGGTTTTTATTTCATAAACTATTATAAGTTAAAGTGAATAGAGTTTTTAATATTCCTTGTAGCATTTTACAAGTGCAACAGAAAACTTGGGAGACCCAAACTAAACAGCCGTAGTTCATCAGATAAACGTCGCTTGTTGTCGTCACATTGTTCACAGCGAATTTTTGAAAAAATAAGCACCAATCATTCTTGCAAAGAACAATTTTATCTAAAAGGATTGAAAAGTGTTAAATACAAGGTCTTTAATTTACATGACAAGCAATAAATACGCCGTGTGGAAACTCACCCCGACACTGGCGGCCGGCGGGGCCCAAGCTCGGTACTGGTTGTTTCGAGAAACAATCTGCCTCCCAGCCAAGGGCCGGCGCCTCCGCCCGCCGCGCGAGGCCGGCAGACAGTGTGGGACCGACAGGACGCCAAGGGGCACATCGAGCAAATAAACCAAAAAGCCGGAAGATCTTGCTGGTGACATTAGCATGAACTAGAAAACCGCAAACGCTGCTACTGTGATTGGTTTTAGATGGGGGTTTTGTCTAGTCACGGATTCAAGAGCCAGCTGAAGCTCGTAAGGGTAAAAAAACTGTCTCCACATTATTGGTTCACGGTCCTGTGTGGAAAGCGGCTGTGACTGTACAATTTTGCTTGAGCCTTTATCTTACAACAGGGCTTTACCTCTAACTCAGGATTGCACGTAAGGAGGCTATTTAGAAAGTACGGTACAAGTGCGCGCGCGCAGGCCCAGGAGAGCCGGCGGCTGCACGCTTCCTACAGTGTTATGCTGACGCGCGGCGGGCGGCCCGGCGGCCATGGCGGTCAGGGGAGCAGCCACCGGCTGGAATTTCCATCTCTTGAGCGCAGCTGCCCCAGGCCGGCCGAGGCCGAGCTCAGGCGTTGAGCCGCAAGGACTGGTCTTCTCTCCTCCGGGAGGAGATGTCAATGTCTATGGAGTCCTTGCCCACGATGAGCCGCAGCCGCTTGGCGGGCGGGAGGGGGATGAAGTCGTCCTCGAAGTCGTCATCACAGTCGGCCCCGTCCTCGTCCCCCTCCGAGGAGTCGTCCGCATCCGAGCTCTCCTCCTCGTACTGGCTGTAGTCGTCCACCTCCATCCGGGACTCCAGCAGAGAGAGGGGGTCGCTGCAGCACACCCCGTTTTCGTGCAGCCCCTCCGGATAGGGCCCCCTGCTCTCCTCGTCCCGCTTCAGCTGGATTTTCAGTTTCGTGGCGCTGCTGCCCGGCCCCGAGCTAAAGCCGTTGTTGAGCTTGGCCACGTAGAGGTTGCTGTCATTTTCGTGGTCTTTGCTCAGCTTGATGCTGATCTTCGAGGAGCTCATCCCGTCCCCATCCCGGTCGTCCGTCTTGCTGCTGCTGTCGTGACGCCGCCGGAGAGTCAGTTTGGGGATCCCAGAGTTGTTTTCCAGGATCAGCTGCGCGTCATACCTAGTGATGCGCCTCTTCTTCTTGCTCTTTGCAGTTCTGAAGCCATCTTTTGCTGTGAAGCCATCAGGTGGCAGGCTGGAGCCGCCCCCCGGAGAATGGGTCCAGTCGGTGCAGCCCACAGGGTTGCCCCCGGCGCCCCCAAGCTCACCCTGCGCCAAGGGGGGCCCCGTGGCCTCAGGCAGCAGGCAGGCCCTCCCCGGGGACGTGGGTGCCACGGTGGCATCTTCCGCCTTTGTGAGCTGTTTCACGAGCCTCCCCGGCCGGGCCTTTTTCCTGGATGTGCTGGAGTCGCTCTTGGGCCCCTGGGCCTCCCCGCTCGGGGCGGCCGCGTCAGCCAGGTCAGTGGCCTGGGCCGTGGGCGGGGGCTGGGCGCCACTGTCCGGGCAGGGCTCCGTCACGCCGTCCTTGCAATCGTCCGGCGTATTTGGTTCCAGCTTGATGTCGGAGGGCTCCTTCAAGTTCAGCCTTGTCCGTACAGACCGCCTGGTTATGTAGGTGCAGGGGGCCTCCTCCCCCAGCACGGGCGGCCCTCGCCCCGAGTTCTGCCTGTGCTCCCGTGCCGCGTGCCTAGTCAAGCACCCACTGGCCGCCGTGGCTGGGACTGGTCCCTCCGGCTCCTTGTCCTTCTTAATGGGTAAATTTTTGTAGAGAACGACTTTAGGCTCTTTAAGCACTAAGTCTCCCATTTCGAGTCTCCGTGAAGTGCTCTTTTGCTCCAGCCGTTTGCAATGATTCCTTAATTTTATTTTGGAAAGTAAAGGCTTGGCAGGCTTTTTCAGTGTCTTTGGTACCCTGGAATTATTTACATGAGTTAGCTTAGATGAGGTAGAGTCGGAAGAAGCTGGGATCCGTGACATAGACTGCCTTGTTAATGTTCTGCTTTTGCTGCTCTTTTTCACACCAACTGAAGATTTCCGGGTAGAAGCTGCAAAGTTAAAAAAAGGAAAAAGGGGTGAGAAGCAGCCCTGTCACCTCGGCAGTGTCAGAGAACCACCCCCAGCCTGCGCCCTGGCCACGCAGCGCCGACGCGCCGGATGCCCGGTTCCGCGTCCCGGCAGACTGGCTCCCCGGCCCAGCCTGGCCCGGCTCTCCCTGGGTCCCACCTCCGGGAGGGAGCGGCGAGTCGCTCCCGCAAACACCTGCACGTAGCCGGACGAGTTCTGACTCTCACGATGCTGGGTCAAGTGAAACACGGATTTGAAGACGCTTCTGAAGTAAAGCCAAGCAAAAACCCCATCCTCCCATTTACAAATTCTTAAAATCGCCATTTCAAATGCTTCAAAAGCCCTTCACCCGTTAGCTCAAGGTAAGCACGGCTCGACCAACCCCATGGACAGAACCGGATGACCCGGGGGCTCGCCCAGCACTCACGAAGGCCTCCAGCAGAAGACCCCAAGCGGCGCTCGCTTCTCAACAGACCTTCCCTGGGAGCCTCGCTGCCTCACGCTGTCCCTTCGGCCCTCCCGGGTCGGACCGGCCAGCTCCAGAGCCAGAGCGGCTACGGCTAACTCGGGATAAAGGGGGTCCAGTCCGCCTTCCTCCGTGAGAAGCCAAGAGCGGCAGGGATCCCACTGGCCTCTGGCCTGGCTCTCGCGACTCCACCTGCAGCGCCCCACGGCGAGCCTCTGGCTGTCATGGACGTCCCGCCACTGCACTGGCTCTCGGCCCGCTGGCCTTTACTCACTGGTGCCTCACGTCCCCTCTCAGTCACCACATCCTGCCACCCCCTACCTGAAACCTCTTCCCATCAAAATCTTCTGAAGCGACCCGCTGGGGCTGTGAGCAGCCTCTCTGATCGTCACCGCCGCTTCCCTGAAGGCAGGGGGATGGACGTGGGTGGGCAGCCCACGCCTGAGGGCGCCGGCCACGCCATGCCCAGGGCTGCCAGGGTGACCGTGTTCCTCCTGCACAGCTGAGTGAGGAGTCACCACGAGCAAGTTTTTACCACGACGACACAAGAACCGAGAGGGCGCCGCAACCCGGCAGAACACCCAGCACCAAGGTGAGAGCGACTCCGGCCAGCGGGCCCTGCGGGCGGACCGGTGGGCCGCTTCGGGGCAGCTCATTCTCAGAATAGGGGCCGCAGTAACGCTCCCATGCCGTTCCGCTTGAGTTCGGTTGAGGACAACTGAACTGCAATTACACAGAACCATTTGCTGGAAATTATTTAAAAAATGAGGCTATTCAGGGACTCTTGCTACAGACTTGTTCTTATGCCGACGAGCTTCCTCCGGGGCCCCAGTGTCCAGGTCGGGGGCTGCTGAGCTGCGCGGCCCCAGGGGCTCCCAGGACCACCGACCAGGCTCGCTGGTTTGCAGCGTCTCCTTTTGCGCCTGCGGCCGCTCGCACAACAACCCCCAACACCACGTGTCCAAGGCCGACCCTAAGGTGGAGGCGCTGCCTGTCTGAGGGCCGCTGGGCAGGAAGTCCAGAGTCACCGCCGGCCCTTCCCTTCCTTGCTGGCAGAAGGGGCACTGCTGGCTGGACGGCGCCTGAGAACCCACTCCCAGGGCTGCCCTGGAGGCCTCTTCTTGCTGTCCCCCCAATTCCTGGCGTTTTCCCTCCTGCTGTGCCAGGTGGAGGGAAGAAGGGAGTCTTCAGGCCTCTGAAGACTCACCCACACATTCTCTGGGTGCAAAGTGCCCACACTGCCATTGGCAGGCAGCCCTGGCCTGCCCTCCCTGCATGCAGGTCCACCGCAGATGCCATGGCCACTGGCCCTCTCTGAGGCTGTTGCATCACGCCCACCTGCCAAATGCACCTTGCCAGCCAGACTGGGGCTTCTTTCCCTGAGACGTCCCCTAGGGCGGCCCACCATGGCCCAGGCATCTCACCCACTGGAACTGGCTACTTCTCTGATGCCCACAACCACCTGCCTGAGCTCCAGCCAATGCTTCCTACCGTGTCATCTCAACTACTGCCCCCAGCACCCCACCCCTGCCTGCAGCCAGGATGTTTTCCCCAGTGCACCCTACACTTCTGGGCCTTCAACCTCCCAGTGACCCCAACGCCCTGAGAGTCACCTCCCTCCTGGCACCGGCTGTGCAGCCAGGCAGACGACGGCCTTGCTGGCACTCTGCCCACAGCAGGGAACCCCAACACTGCCCAGTCCCCCTCTGCCTCAACTCAGGAGCCACTGTTCCTGGACAGCCTTTGTGACTTTCTAGGTCACCTCACCCGGGAACTTATCTTAATCCACAACATGAACCTCACTTTACGGTGACCTTAAACCTGATGCCCGCTTGTGTCTCCTCCAAGCGTCACTGTTAGCCAAGTGTGGAGAACTACGACAGGGCGGCCATGTGGGTCTGCTCCACGCGAGCCTGTGGGTGCGCCTGATGCCATGGCCACGCTCACACATCGAGCCGCCTGTCCTGGCCCAAGGCCCCACCGGGACTGCACTGGTCAAGCAAGGTCCGGAGACGGGCAGGCGGCCCAACCAGGGTGTGGTCAGTGCCTGGTGCTCATATCCTGGGGCCGCTCCCGGGCAGCGGCTGGGTGCACCCTGATGCTGGGCGCCTCGCACACGGCTCACCGGGGTGGATGCGGTGACACCCACTGCTCAGGGGCTGGGCGGCTAGAGCGTGGGTCTACAGCTCAACCGCACCACCATGAAGGGCACTGAAGCTGTCCCATCTGAGAGGACTAGCAGGGCTCCCACGGTCATTTCAGTGTGTCCTCTGATCACAAGGCAGGCCTGCCTGGGCGCCCGGTGGCAGGTACTAGAACAGCCCGACGACCCCGCACTCCTGAGTCTGGGCTGCGTGGGGCCTGCGCTGAGCAGGGGCGAGGCCCATGCAGCCAGGTGGCTCTAGAACTGGAGGGCCCACAACACCCTTGGCAGGTCCCTAAAGGCTTCAGGGCGCTTACAGGTATGTGAAGCCGTTTTCACCTTATGTGGCCTGGGCTAGGGTGTGGGAAAGGACCCAGAAGCTACCCAAGGCTGGGGGCGCTGCCCAGCCAGTGACTACTGCTCAGCCAGGCACACCAACACAGGACGATCCATCCGGCTGCTGCCCAAGGCTTCGGGTCTGGCACCACCGGGGCTGCCTCACGATCCCGTCCCCAAAGCTGGGTGGTCGGGATCCTCCCCCACAGCGGCGCCGTCGTCAGGCTCTCGGCTGACTCCTTCCTCCTCTGGGTGCAGATGGCCAGGATGTGGCTCTTGAGGCCCTTCAGTGAGGGTCGGGGGAAGGAGAGTCTTCTCCTTCTGGCCAGGCAGGAAAGTTTCTCTGAAATGGACACACAGGCCATTCCCAGACAGGAACTCCTCCGTCGGCCGCCAAGTCCTAGACCCATGTGGGATGACAGGCGGCTGTGCCGGTATGGGGTGCACAGGACCGCTTCTCGGGCCCTGCTTTCCTCCAAGCCGTGGTTTCTAGGTCTGCCCCTCAGACAGGTAGGAGGACCAGGCACCAAACGAAACACAGCCTGAGAGGCCACACAGGAGAGAAGACGGCTCCCCGAGCACTGGGTCCGGGGTCGGAGGGCGCGCAGCAGGCACCTCGGCACGCCGGCCAGGCCCCAGACTTGTCTCGCTGGCAGTCACAACCGCCCTTCAACTACCAGAGATAGTCATTCCGCAGAAAGGTAACTGGAATAAAGTTAAGCACCCCAATATGAGCAGTTATGACAAAGCGTCTATTTCTATTCTGGGCGATGGCTCAAGAGGACGCTTGGCCCCGTTGGCATCGGACACGGAGCTTGTCTGCTTGCTCGGCTGCGTGCGTCCCAGGCCGTCCGGGGATACCGAGGCACACACGTCTTTGCCTCTCCAGACCAGCAGGCCCTCCATGTGCGCGTAGTTTCCTGGCAAAGGCCCACCCATCAGGAAGACCATGCAGCCCGTTCCAAAGCTGTGTCCTGGTGTCGGAGGCAGAGGGGGTCCGAGTTCAGTGCTGTCCGCTAGGAACAGCTAGTGCAAAGCCATAAACCACCCTCAGGCTCTCGCAGCCCCAGACATGGCGGCAGCGTCCACGTGTCATGGTGGGCCATGAGCGAGCAGCAGAGGCCTGCAGCGGCACCCAGGAACCAGACTCAGAAACGAACGTGGTTGGGCTGCGTTTATTATCAGACCAAGTTAAGAGCGTACGATGAACTAACTGCTCCTTCTGGACACTGAGGACTGAACACGGAGTTGCATCACATGCAGAGGCGGAGCCTGGCCTCGGCTGCTGGCAGCAGGGGGTTCAGCGGCGCAGGGAACCCTCCCTTTCCTCTAGGCTTTTCTGGAGGGTGAGGGCTGACACCGGAGCGCTGGGGCGGGCAAGGCCAACCTCATACTGTTCCAAGAGACAAGTCAGACCAGAGAGCCCTGCTTGGGTGGGCATCCCTGGTAAGAGGCAGCCGCGGGAAGCTGGGTCCCAAAGTCCTAGGTCCACAAACAGTGTTTTCTTCCACCCATTGGGCTTTCTTCACTCTCCTTCATTTCCTCTTTCTCGTGCCCTTAGCACTCGCCCCACACAGCTTGCTTCTTCCTCTTCTTCATCCCTCTCGCTACCTCTGGGTGGCCAGCACAGCAGCGACATTCACAATGCTCCTCTCGACTCTGAGTCTGCTAACTCAGTGGTTTGGTGAATTGGGTCAGTTAATTTTGAAAAAGGCAAGAAAATACTAAAAAGGTGGAAGCCTGGCGGCCAGAAGCTACGACCCCTGAATGCATCTGCCACCCGGCCCACACGGAGCACTCGCGGCCTGTGGTTCCACCAGGTCCTCTGTCTTCTCGGCAGACCCAACAACACATTAGAGCGAAACTAACACCTCGACCATGTCTCTCAGACATCTCATGACCCTGGAGCAGAGGAGGGAGGATTCAACATCCAGTCCCAAAGGTCCGAGATACGCAGACAAGAAGTCTAGCTCACTGGAGGGAATCTGGAGGCGGACACAGGCTGTGCTTTGTGCTGAGATCATCTCTAGACCCTGCAGGGCAGCTGACGCACGCGAGTCCCAGAGTTTCTCTTAATATTTAAAAGATCAAAACCATCGAAGCATGCTTAGAGACAGACTGCATGAAACACGAGAAGGACACGCTCACAGGGCTCCCCGACTTACTTGCATTGTTTTTTTCCTGAGTGGTATCTGCATCAGTGTTAGAGCTGACAGACTGACTGTCTGAGTTTTTGCTGCTGTCACCTAATTTTTTAAGTCTATTTAGACGTTTGTCTGTCTCTCTGAGTCCGTATTTGCTATTGATAACAGGAGCAGGCGCGGGCAGTCCCACTCTGGATTTAAAAGCACCAGTTCCCCGTCTGAAAGAGAAGACAAGGCAGGTTAGCACACGGCGTGCCGATGTACTTACAGTAAGTGTGGCGGCTGCGGGCACCAGGCCCTGTCCAGTCAACAGATGTGACGAGGCCTCAACCATCCCCGGAAACCTGCCAAGTCTAGGGCTCTCGGGAGTCAGCAAGTCTGCATGTAAATTAAACAACAGAACAGCCTTCCAGGCCTGTTGTCACAGCAATGGTTTATAGCCCGCGAGAAACTACGGGGCCCTGCAAAATTTCATGTGTTGACGAAAAACCAACCAAGCAACCACCAGTTCTTCCTTGTTCAAAACAGGGAGGCACAAGAGTTGGGCCAGGTAACTCCCCTGCTACTAGAGTTCTGCTCTGCTCTGCCTAATTTATCACCACGTTACTGAATACTGAGAAATTAAAAAAAAAAACAAAAAAAAACAAAACAAAAAAACAGAGAATGTCGATAAATTTGACAACTTAATGTCAGATACAAAGAAATCCTGACTGAAATTCTGTGTGAGAAGGCTAGGCTGTGTCAGTGAAAATCTGATTTCTGGAACCAGAAATCCTGTTAATAATCCCTTCAAAGACACTGAAATAAAAAATGATGACCACAAGCAAGTTAACTAAATGTCACACTAAATAAAAGATGCTAAAAGCTTGCTTTCAACACTGGATAAAAATGATGTGTAACCTGCTCTAATCATTCACATTTCCATGAATTCTGATGTGAGGGTGCTTACAAGATGCTCTCCCGAACAACTTATAGTCTAGCCATCCAAAGTCTTTGGTTTGTTCAGTGTATAATTCCAACTCAGCTTTCTATTCAACAGCAGAAGTCAATTATCAGCGTGGTTTTCAAAAAGCACTCCATACTGCACCGCGAAGCGAGAGCTCTCTGGCCCAGACTGCCGCCACTGACCTTCGCAGCCCTGGCATGCACAGGGAAGCATGTGATGGGGTGTCTGGACTCGGGTGAAGACACAAACGCCCTCTGTCCCGAGATGAGAGTGCTCCCCTGCGACCCCCCCCCCACCCAGGGTTTACGTGAAAATAACTTCTCCCCTGAAGGAATCCCAGTATTTCACTGCCTTTGCTAAGGAAAAGTACGCGACTCCCCCCTTGCCCTGCCCCATCTCGGTGCTGGGAGCGCACACCCCCGCTCAGCAACTGCCACCCTGGCGTCTTACTGCTGTCACCTTGCCAGCTGGGTTTGGACGCTACCTACGTTGATGCCTTTGTAAAGCAACTGACACCTTACCGAGGGACCTCTTCAACTGTGTGGAGTAAGAAAGTAATAAAACATTCTCCGATAGTCCACGCTGATTTACTGTAACTTGTTTCTAGAAAGATGGGCCACAGTTAAAGTAAGCCTGGACACAAACAAATGACCACCGTGGATTCTAGTATCTGTAAACGACAGGTTTCTTAAGGTCAAAACCCTCCCTTCGTCACGTCTCTGCTTGGCTTGTTTCTGACGCGGACGCTGCCCTGTGCGCCTGGCCAGCGGCACCCCCTGCCCAGACTGCGCCTCGCGGGGCAGCTTCCACCCCCGCCCCGGGTCTACGCTACTGATGTTTCTCTTCCTAAGCAAACACCACCACGGCAGGAAACGTTACACATTTCACTCAACCACCAGTTTTCCTGTTTTATGTCACGGACAAGTCATTCTGACTGAACATTCAAAGTTGCATTTTTATACGGGATAAACTGCCCCTGTGATCACTGAAACTTGTGGGGTTTGCTTTGTTTCTGCTTGCCCCCCCCAAAATGCTGCTGCATTGCTCCTGAACCCAGACCTACTAACAGGGGTTCACCCACCTACAGAACACATCCTCCCCGGGTCGGCCTGCCGGGCGCGAGGGCTTTCCCGAGATGATCCACTGCTTGCGGCCCAGGCCCTCGCGGCGCCCCACACCTGCCTGCACTGGGGCCTGTACTCAGGCACTGTTAAAGCCCTGTTCAAGGCCTTTCTCCGTGTCCCCAGGTCACCTCCACCCATCCTCACAGGGCTTCCTGCTGTCGCCCACACGAGCTCTGCCTGGCTCTCACCCCGCAGGGCACCCTTCAACTTCTGGCTTTACTCTTGCCGTTTCCAGCGAGTTTGTGTCCACCGTTCTTGTCTTACTTCTTCCACAACACTCTGCTAACCCAAGGCCAGATATGTTGTGTTTTTTTTCTAGTAGCTTTGCATTTTATTTTAAATTTCGGGTATTCAGCCATCTGAACTTATCTTCTCTATGGTGTGAGGTGGAGGGCTGGCCTGGTCCCCCCCCCCCCCCCCCCCCGCCCAATGCACAACGCACCACACCCAGTCACTTGTGGAAGAAGTAACCGCCATTACCCTGGATATGGCATCAGGACCTCCAGCCTCTATTTCAGAGACCTACTCACGTCCCCTTCTCTATTTGTCTGCTTCTGGGCCAACAGCATCAAGTTCTGATCACAACGGTTTCATACCAATTTTCATCTGCTATGTCAAGTCTCCACCAACTGTTCGTGAGACATTTTTTCTTGGTTATCATCAGATATACTTTCATATAAGCTTTCAAATAATTTGGCCCTCCCTTAGATTTCAGTCCTCAAATTTTCCAGCGAAACCTGCACTACTTCCTCACGAACATGGCACAGCCAAGGCTGTCAGAACGGCAACTGTCAGACATGGACCACGCATGTCCTGGATGCTGGGCCCGGGATTTCAGCCACCCGTGAACAGTCGCTCTCATGTTATCACCGAATCACCTCCTCTCACTCTCAGGTGCTAGTGCAGTGTGAGTGTGTGTGTGTGCATGTGTGTGTACCTCGTTGCCTGCCCCGCACTAGGCCTGCTCACACGAGGCCTGACATAATGATCAATTCAGTCAACACTGGGTGAACAGCTGAAAGAGCTCCTCTGACAAGTCCACGCTCTCACCAACTTTCTGGAGTGAAGACACAGTTTAGCGTTCTAGAGATTTTCAGAACACCAGCACCCAACCCTTCAAACGGTCAAAGGGCCAGCAGCCCAGCGCCCCAGACCAGGCCTGCACACCCTTTCCTCACGTGGACAAACCCTGTAGGGTAAGCAGACCCCCACCGGACTAGCACCAAGTGGGGCTCACAGGAGAGCTGCCCGCCAAAGGACTTGACGGTGCGGGCACCCTCAGCTAGCGCGTCTCCCCAGGCCTGGCCTGGAACCCTGACTTCTGCGGTCATGTTTTCAGCACATATTCCAAAAACGTATTTAGCGAGTCATCAGCTCCACTCATGGACACACTCGCTGACCACATACCTACTATGGGCCAGGGACTGCTCTGCGGATAGAGCAGTAAATGAAAGGATAAAAATCTCCGCCACTCTGAGGGCGCCTCAGCTGGGGGTTCCTGCAAATGGGAAAATAACCAGAAACCAAAAATGGTTTTGCAGCATTAACTGTGTGTTACTCTACCTGCTTTATGAGAAGCAGCAAACCGAGCTCTCCCGGCAACCCCGCGAGTGCTAACGCTGCTGCTGTTCTGCTTGCGAGGCCACCGGGGCACCAAGCAGCCCAGTGGAGCAAGGTCAACGCCAGCGAGACGCAGTCACAGAAGCCCATTTGGCTGACTGGTTCAATCACCACATCACGTTGTCATGATACAGTGACTTTAAAGCATTATTCAATGATAATTAAACTTCTTCATGGGTTGAAGAGTCTTTTGTTGACCAGTCGCATATTTAACCATTTTTTCATGTAGAAAAAGATTTTTAAAAATAAAAATAAATTTTAGCCCCAACCCCGATTCAAGGGGCAGAAGGCCAGCAGCCCCGGGAAGAGGTGCTCTTGGTGTCCTCTGCAGCAGCCGATTCTGGGAGAGGAGATGCTGGGCACGCTGCTGCCCTCTCGCCACACGGGGAACCCTGGCTCCCCAGAAAGAAGGAACGGGGCCTCTGAGGAACCCACCCGTCTGTGGTGAGGTGGCGGGCTGCCACTGGCCATTTTAATTAGGAGATACTGCGCTGCCAGACCATCTCTGCGCTCTGCAAAGCTCTGGAAGCAGAGAGAGCTATGAGGTCAGGCTGAGCCGTGCACAGAGACCCAAGTCTCTGTGGCTGTGACGTGGGTGCATCACTCAAGCTTTCTCCAAGGGCTAAGGGCCTAGCAGCGCCCAGCACAGCAGAAGGGCCATGGCAGGGGCTCAGCAGATCCAGGGGGACTCGCTCCATGGCCCGCAAGCTGCACCCCCGTGACGGAGCAGCAGGAGCCAGGACAACCGGGACTTGTATGCAGACGACACAACAACCCAAGTGAATCAGTGTCCTTCTAAGGCAGCTGGGGGGGTCCCTGCAAAGACTCCAGAATCTCGATGGGTCATAAAAGAAGTCTCTCACTAAGTGACAGAACTTAAGGATTATGACATTTATGTATTAAACGTAGAAGTTCCAGAAGACGTGGCTGAGACACACACACAGCAACCCTGGGGTCTTATGGCACTACACTCTCGGTAGTAGAACTTCCCTTGCTACTTGGGGCAACCCCACTCTGGCATCGTGTGCACATGGTGTGCCCACACTCTCCTGAAGCACCTTGGTATCCTGACTCATGTGGACAATAGCTGGGGACAGTGAGATTTTAAAGGCGTCGGAGCCCCACATGGCTCTGCGCCCTGTGCTCCTTACACACTGCCTGGCACGCACACTGCCCCAGTGCCAGGCACGGATGTGACGCTCACCACCACCCCCCCACCCCCGCACCGATCCAGGAGGAGGGGATGCAGGTCCACGCCCATCTTACTTTGTACTTTACCTTTCACAAGTGTAACACTCGCAGAATTCATTGTTTTCCCCAAAAAATCCATCTCCGTAGTAACAAGAAATCTCTTCTCCGGGTTCAATGTCCCTTAGGGCCTTCACACACGCTGTGTCTCGACCCGTTGACACAAACTGAAATAAAGCGACTGCATTGAGAAACACACACCTCCAGCAGAGATAAAATACTGGAGATAGAGAAAGTTCATGCTTACCTTACAGTTAGGTCTGCAATCTGAAAAATGTCCAAAAGATAAAGTCAATTAACTGTAGATAAGATCTGAAACACGAACAATTACAGAACCTGAAATAAGCTTTCCATACACTTGTACAACTTTTGCTAGACGTTTAGGTCTCAAATTAGACAATGTTTATTTTTAGAAGTTGATGAAAAAATATTCCTATTTCCACTGTTGAGTAATACAGGTTCTACACAGTTTGATATGGTCATTCTAATTTTTCGCAGTACAGCCCAACGCCAGGCCAACACCTGAGAAGCAGAGCTTACCATGGTTTATAAACGCGGCGGGACCAAGCCAGAGCTGAGCACAGTTTTTCCTTGTGGAATACATGACACTGAAGTCGTTTTCTCCATGTCTAAGTAGCATGTTCTCCTCAATTTCTGAAAGTTCGGCAATACAACCCACCAGTAATTCTATTTTGTCATTTCGTTTCCTATTTAAAATATGTGATGTGTTAAAAATTACTAGCAATTATAAATAATAAGGCTTCTTTTAATCAAATAAAGCCTGTCCCACAAACACGGGGAACTGAGAAGACCGTCCTCCTCCCAGGGGGCCCATCTGTCCGTGGGGCACTGAATGCAACACGCTGACCACGGAGCCAGACAAGGAGCCGTGAAGGGTCATGGGGCCCAGTCCTGTGATGCCCCCGCCATGGAAATGCGCTGTACTCCGACTGCCAATCACTTCTAACGGCCACACTGAGCGAGCAGAAATGGGTGAAGTCACCACCCCCCACCCAGGTGAAGTCATTTTTAATAATATATTTCAACTCAACATAACCAAGACGCTCTTCAGTCGGGAATCAATACAAGGCATGTCAATGGGAACTGCGACACCAAGTCCGGCACGCAGCTCACATCCACAGCCCTTGATCAGACCAGCATGGCGCAGGCTCAGCAGCCACGTGGCCCCGCCCCCCGCAGATGGCACCCTCTCCACGCCACAGGGAGTCGCAAAGCTGAGGAATCAACCCCAGACCTGCACATGCATCCCCATGCAAGAGGCCTGGATGGATGTTTTTGGCCCGAGCCATTTTCAGCTACCCGACCCTAAAATTTTTACCATAAAAATAACTGGGGGTGATATTGTGGGGGTGTGGGGGTGTCTGTTTCTTCTGTGAGATTATACAGGGAACACGCATAAGAGGAAAGGAGAATAAATTACATGTTCTCTCTCCCCAATACAGCTTTTAGCCCTCCTAGCTGGCTCAGCTTTATTAATTTCAGCTGGCAAAGCAGTCTACATAGTTATGCTTAGAGCAGGCAATGAAGGGGAAATCTCCACCTGAGAGACTCCTAGGATCACTCAGATTTCACACTCACCTTCCTCCCAGGCTGGTGGAGAGGGCTCTGGAGACCGGGCTGCCCACCCTGGCCCTGACCCCCAGCCGCTCCGCACTATGCAGGCAGCAGCCGCAGCAGAGGAGACAGGCTCTGGCCTGCTTCACACTCCAGCCTCCCATCCTGTCCCCACAGTGGGGCACAGGCCCCAGCATAGCCCTGGCTCCTTTGGGGGAGCGCTGTTTCATTCCTCCCCATAACTTTCTTAGCACTTAAACAGTAACTCAAGAGAGAACCCTAAAGCCCTCTACAGTTTACAAGTTTACGTTAGTGTAACAGTTACCACTCTTTCGTTGCGACTATCTTGGCTCCATTTTGTTCTGATGAGTATCTATTACAGGGCAGTATTTCAAAACCACTGTCAGTTGCAAACATTCGCAAGTAAATAAATACCTAAAGCAGAAAAGAAAATTAGTATTAACTTTGTGCTAAATTACTTACCCTGCTAGACATTCTCAAAATTATAAAAGCCAACCACCACCACCACCATTTAAGATCATCAAGGACCCACAGCTTGGCCTTGTTACCCGTGAAAGCCCTATGCGCCTCACTCAGGTGAAAGTTTTTCCCTTTGGACAAACGATCTCATGGGTTATTAGATCTTCACATTGATTGGTTTTATGAAAGTTGATTTAAAATTTCAATGTGACTAAAATTTAGGCTTCAGTTCCCTTTACTCTCGTCCAGACAGACAGTATTCATCTTAAACCTACATGTTCCTTGAATAATTTCTCCTGCATTTTGTTCTTGTTCAGAAAATAGTGTCGGGCCCATTCGCCGGAAGTCAGACATTTAAAGGCTTTCTCCAAGTGCTCATCTTTCTTAAAACGTTCAATGACTTCCTTTAGTTCTTCTTGTCTTCCTTTAATAGGCCGAAATCTGCAAGAAAGCAAAACAATAATGTCATCTCTCTGCCCATGCTCGGGTGCTGTTAAGATCAACAAAAGAACCACCAATAATCTTGACAATCACTAACTCAAGCAATACTGATCACCAGGAAACAGAAGGCTTTCTTCAAGCTGTATTTTCTTATTTTTATTCCACTGTATCTCATTAACTGAAGGGTGACCAGATGATTCAAATGAAAGCTGTCTGTTCCGGGCTCGCCCTAGTCACCTACTTTGGAAAGTACAAAATGAAAGATGTGGAATAAAGCCTAAGTAATCAAGAGAACAAGAGTTTTTAAAGCGTGCAGCAATCAAGCCAGGAGTGCGTGGCAATGACTCCAGAAGGAAGACAAACCAAACGAAATCCAGCCACAGACAAAGCCAGCCCCGGTGTGCACAGGCAGGACCCCACGGAGCCAGCCAGGCCCTGCAACAGCCCCACTGAGTTAACCTTGAACTGCTTTCAGGGACCAGGAGGAGAGCGAAATGTACAACTTGCCATGACTCTATCCTGCTGATGAGAAGGAAAACTGTCGGGGTAGAATTTCTCAAAGCTTCTGTCATAGCTTCTACTGTGTAACTGGGCCTCGAACAGCTCCCCACAGGGCTGGACCTGACACAACCTCTGTCCCAGGCAGACAAGCCTGGAAGACTCCTCTGAAAACCGTGCTCTCAACAACACCCAGGCTCCGATTAAGGCACGTGGGTCTTAGTCTTTAACTTTCTTCTCACATCAATATCATTTGGTTTACTTTCCCAAATAAATCTTTCTTTTTTAAAGATTTATTTATTTATTTACGCATACAAGAACTGGGGTGCAGGCCAGAGGTGCAGGGGGTGAGAGGATTCACCAGAGACAGAGCAGGGAGCAGCAGGGAGACAGGAAAGGTCTGCTGCACCCTGTGGGTGGCTCCCCGGCTGGGATCGAACTCAGGCTGGGAACAGCTTCATAGTGCTGAGACTAACCCCTGCGCCACCAGGGAGGCACTAAAGATTTCATTTTTATTTTATTTTATTTATTTTTTTGGTGGGACCCTCGCCGGTGACCGGGGATCGAACTGGCGCTGCAGAGGCTGCGGGCAGTCTCGCAACCCAGCGCTCAACCACTGTGCCACCAGGGGAGGCCCAAAGATTTCATTTTTAAAAAGCATTCAACAAAAAAAGGAATTAGCAACTGCTGTTCAAATTAAATACATTAGGAAATACTAGTGGCTCCAGGAAAGAAATATTTCAACCATGCAACATCTCATTGTTAACATTTAAAACGGTACATCTCATTGACGTGGAAACGCCACACAGCCCTGGGGAGCAGAGGTGCATCAAGCTAAGCTTTCTTAGGTAAGCGACCACAAACATATTCCTAACATTTCAGCAAGATTTTGAGCCACAACATTTTGCAAAGGATTATTTATTAGGTGCTGTGGCAAAAACGTAAAGAGACAGACAAGCACCTGTCCTTGACTGGAAAGTTGGAGGGAACAGCAGGCACCACCACATGCAGGGTGCCTGTGTGCAGCTGTGGTGAGACCTGCACTGAGCACAGAAAACACCCCCAAGGCGTGAGGCTTGTCGGGCAAGTTTTTGGAGTTGACACGGATACAGGCAGTGGAGAAAGCGATGAATGCAGCTTAACAAGGAAAAAGCAGGACCTTCCACGGGCAGGAAAGAATCAAGAGGCAGCAGCAGGGGAGAGGGTCTAAGCAGAAAACCCTAACACAGCTGGATTCAAAGAGATCAACGGGGCCAAGGCAGCTGCCAGCCACAGGTGGGGCCCAAAACAAGGAAGAGGGAACACGGCGCCAGACAGTGGCCAGCAATGTCGGATGAGACACCAGTTACCGAAGCACATGCTGACTCCCAGGAATGCCCTGGCTAGACTCCGGTGCTGGCCAGCTCTTGCGACTGCTAAGCAGAACTATCTGGAAGAATCAAAAGCATCCTAAAGATGCTATAGGAAGAAATGGACAATGTCCTGCTTTATTTTCCATTTCAATCAATCAGCGCTCAGCCCTCGCAGACAGAAGAGCAGACGTCCTTTAAATAATTCGGAATGTCTTTAATGGTTCAAGCTGTCAGATGTGGCAGCAGAGAACCATCACCACAGCAGTAAGCGATCAGCAGAACTGTGGAAGGCTCCAAGCTTGCAGGGTCACAGTAAACCATCTCCCTGGAGCCACCTTGTGGTTCTGCCCAGACGAGAACCCCAACTCAACCCTTCCTGGGATCCATGCAGACGAGGGGCCAACAAGACAATCGGGCAGCTGTCAGTTGCGGCCGACCACGTCCAGCAACGCAGAGCCCGTGTGGACAGAACTGTGTTCTGGATCGTAGACAGAAGGCGACCATTCACGGAGCAAACACAGCGACTGACTAACCACATCAAGTGGCAGGGATACAAGGACAGGCAGCGCTGGCGGCACCTGCCGTGTGGAGCAGGCCTCCGGTGGCACTGTTCCAACAGCCTCAAGCATGACTACGAGCACACCAGAGCCACTGCTGAGTCCAGCCCGGCTCCTGGGAGTAGGAAGGCGGCACAGGCTATGGGTCGGCTGTCAGAGCAGTGGGAGCACCTCCCCAGAGTGGAGCCGCATGGAGCCTGTGGGGCCCCTCAGCTCAGCTATCAATGAGGCCGAGCTGGCAGCAGGCGACAGCACGCGAAGCCGTGCCCCCCGGTTTCTCCCGGCTTCAACACAAACCCCCCCACCAAACTGTCCCTCTCTGCCCACTAGCAAGAGCCTCCATTTCACTTAGAAATGGAGAAATCTTACTTAATGTAAGACTTGCAAATATTCGGGCCGGAGAAAAGGCACTAATATTCTATTACTGAGGATTAAAACACATGGTGCTCTCCTCAACAAATGCTCGGAATCTCCCATACAGGCTGCAGAGAGCTCTCTGCAACCATGTTTTATTTATTTATTTTTTAAGATTTATTTAATTATGCATACAAGAACTGGGGTACAGGCCAGAGGCGTGGAGGGTGAGAGAATTCACCAGAGACAGAGGGGAGCAGAATAGGCAGACTGACTGAAATGCACTGCAGAGGGGAGCAGTGGGTGAGTCAGGAGAGGTCTGCTGCGCCATGTGGGATAGCAACCTGGCCAGCCTGAGATCGAACTTGGGCCGCAGTGGCTGCGGAGAGCTTCATAGGTTACGTCTTAACCCCCTGTGCCACCAGGAAGGCCCACACCATGGTTCTTAAAGCTGGAAGGAAACAAGGAAACTGACCATCTAAGCCCTCCTGTCTCACCAGGGCTGTCAGGGAGGTGCCCAGGACCACACCCCCTCCCCCTGCCGCTAGCGCCCTCTGGTGTCCTTCCACACCTGGGCAGGACCTGGCCTCAGCGAGCTGGGGCACAGCAGCGCCAGCTGCTGGACTGAGAGTCCAGAAAGGGGCGGATGCAGGTAAGTGTCCTCATGTTGAGGTGGCAGAAGGGACAGCTGGGGAGGCAGGAGAAACAGGTGTCTAGCATTTCCAAACCAATACACCTCTCCTCCCTCTCTTAATACATTTGCTATTTTAAATAAACCAACGACTCTGATCTATGGCCGGTCTAAGAATTTCTTAAAAATAGGTCATTTACAATCATCTATTATTAAAAAAGGCAGAAAACAACACAAGAATTCACACCCCACACACCTGGTCCCCACTCTTTCCAGAGACTTCCCAGGTTTTCTTGCTATTTGTTTTTTCCATTTCCAAACCCAAGAGACCGCTGTGGCAATGAAGGGAAGTCGCAGTGCCCAACCGCCAGCGTGCATAAGCACGAGCTGATGCACGGAGGGGAGCCGAGGGGGGCGGGGGAAGGAGCAAGGGAGGAGAGGAAGACAGGAAAATGCTCAAATACTTAAGATGTGAAACAAGACAACCACGCAGTCACTTGGCTACAGCACACCGAGGAGCCAGCTGCACGCTGACAGCGAGCTGCGAGGATCCCGCCGGGGCCACAGCTCTTCATTCCTTCTCTACCCGAAAAGCAACCCAGGACACAATTGGCCGAGTCAGGGTGCTGGCCTGGTCACTCCGATGGGTGATTTCTCTTAAAACTCCCCTGCCCCGGAGCACAAGTGGTTTTTTCAATACAGCTATTATGAAGACCCAACAGAGTTAAAGGTTTGCAAGAAGCTCTAAAGTCCTCACTGATGCCGACACCGCCAATCATTTCACACAAACACATGTCAGAAAGGCGGAAAGGTTAGTTGCGTCTTATTATTGCTTGCGATGCATTCTACCTACCTCACAGGGTTGTTGTGAGGAAAACTGTCAGGTTTTGAAAAATGCCTTGAGCTCCTCGAAGGAAAGGCGCTATATAAATGCAAAAACAAACAACAACAATAAACAATGAATTGTACAATTTGCATTTGTAATTTCCAAACAGACTTACGTTAGCTGCAGCAGAAACCTTTACAATGCTGTGACAAGCAAGAACCGCACGAGCCAGGGGCAGGCTCGGTGCGACGGTGGAACCAGAATGTGGGAACTCTTCCCACGTAACATCATTTACCTGAGTGTACCAAGTTAGAAGGCTCTGAAAGCTCCCTTATGCATTCTAGGCAAGCACTTAATTTTAAAATGACATTGAAAGTGATTCATAAATTCATGCCCAACAGTGGATATAAACAAGCAAAAACAAAGTAAAATGAAAATCAGCTGGTGACAGCGCAGGACATACCACCAACTGGGAAAGCCACGAGCAGTCCCTGAGGGAAGGGGCCCTGAGATGACACTGCTCATTTCTCTGCCAGTTACTTCCTGTCCAGCTCACTTTATTCTCAGGTTAAAAGGAAGAATTTAAACTTCATGATTGACGAAGGTCAACTAAACAGACGTTTTCCCCAATAAGATGGAATTCCTATTGTGGTTTTCCTGTTTCTGGGAGTTTGCACCACAGCCCCGAGTTGCTGTCAGGAAGCAGCAGGGCATGGAGTCAGTGTGGAAACCCTCAGATGACTGGACACCTGTTGCTCTGACACTGCCCTGATGGTGTACTGAGAGGAGAAGGGAGGAAGAAGAACCAAAAAATGACAATCGAATTACAGATGTGTCAACAGGAGGCCAAGGAGACCAATTAAACAAACTGCACATGCAGCATGGAGGATTCAAATCCAGATGCCACCACATTTCTTTTTAAAGGAATCCTTTTTTTTTTTTTTTTTAAAGATTTTATTTATCTATTTTTGGGTAGAAGAACTGGGGTGTAGGCCAGAGGTGCAGGGGGGTGAAAGGATTCACTAGACACAGAGTGGGGCAGAACAGGCGGATCTACTGAAATACTCTGCTGCCGGGAAACAGGAGAGGTGTGCTGCACCAAATGTGGGTCAGCTCTCAGGCCAGGGATCGAACTCAGGTCACAGTGCTGGGCTGTGGTGGTGACAGCGCTGAGACATAACCCCTAGGCCACCAGGAAGGCCCCAATCACATTTCCAATCACTTATTTTGCAGCCCAAAAGAAAGAAGTCTAGGGCCTCCCTGGTGGCGCAGCAGTTGAGTGCTGGGCTGTGAAGCTGCCCGCAGCCTCTGCAGCTCCAGGTTCGATACCTGGTGAGGGTCCCACATGGCGCGCAGACCTCTCCTGCGGCCCGCTGCTCCCCTCAGCAGTGTACTTCAGTCCTTCTGCCTGTTCTGCTCCCTGCTCTGGCTCTGGTGAAATTCTCTCACCCTCCCGCTTCTGACTGTACCCAGTGCTTGTATAAATAAGCAAATAAATCATTTTTTTAAAAAAAGAAAGAAGTCTAAGCTAATAATTTAAGAAGTATTTATGGTTATTCCAATAAAACATTGTAGATTTTCAATAAAGTATCATCTTTGAAACTGATGAAGTCAACATTCTGGCAAATTCTTGTTAATCTCTGAAATAAAGTATGGGGGTTTCTGAAGACATGAAATTCTTTCCTAAGACACCAAAACTTTGTCATTTTGACAGAATGCTTTCCTATTTCAGTATATACAAGGCATGATGGCTCTTTCTTGAAAACTTCAAGTCGTAAGCACGGGTTTTGCAGTGACATACCCCGAACACCACCAGGCTAGTATATGCAACAGTCATTCACATTTATTTAACTCTGCCGAAACAGAGGCTGAAATATGACTTCAATACTGGCAGCATCCTCTCAGAAGAGGAGCGCTCTGGTGGGCTCAGTGTCACTGGGAAAAAAGGGAAATGGACTTGATGTGATGCAACCAGAGTCCAGGTGGACAAGCGGCGCCCAATCCCGCTGGTTTCCTGCGCAGGCCTCCACCTGCCTCCCCAGGAAACTTAGCCACCCATCTCTCTGGCAGGCAGAGAGTTAAACAATCTCTCAAGCCTGTTCCAACTTTTCATTTTGGTAAATAAAGATATACAACAACAGCAAATTACATGAAAATACCAAAGGCACATTTCTGCTTCATTTTTTTTTTCTGGAACTAGAATAAATACATTCCTCTGATCACCTCTACTCACCCTCCTTCCCCAACTACCGGTGACTGCCCAACCATCCGCCTGGTGACCAAGTCCCTCTGGGCTGCACCGGCTCCGGAGCTACAAAGCCAGTGCCAACATGTAGACGGGGCACGAGCAGGGGCCCAGGACTTGCTCTTTACTCCACCCCACTGCTGTTAGGGTTTCCAGCTGACCTGAAGACCTTCTGCCATGGAGGTTAAGAGACAAAGTTGTAAAAAAAAAAAAAAAAAAGCCAAACACCTCCAACACCACTTTGTATTTGGTGGCAGAGTCAACCATGAATTCACCTAAGGGCCTTTCTGGGGGAGAGAGGATATTTAAGAGTTAGCCCAAAAGAATTTAAAGGATGACAGACAACAAGAGACCTAATAATACCTTATAAAAACAGCACCTGATATATTCAATCTGGCACTTAGTTATTTTCTTGCCTGTATATGGAACACACTGACATGTAGTCCAAAATATTCACCCTGCAACGATTAGCTGATTCACAAAGATTAAATAAACATGGTGGCAAAATTCCCTCGTAGAGCATCAATTATTTAAAGGAAGAAAAATCTGTAATGAAGTCATGGAAAAGCCCCGATGTAACCTACTTCGAGCAGAAAAGACAACAAACACATATCCAAGGTTATAGGATGCTTGAAACATTCTTCTTTCAACTGAGAAGACTATCATCAACATTTAAAATAGAATACGAAGATGCTTCTCCAGCTTTGTATTTTAATAAAAATACCCTGAGATAAAACAGGAACACGGAATTAAAAGTAACGAGACTCTGCGGCTCCTGCTGCTTTCTTGGCTCACACACAGGAAGCCCTTCTGAAGCAAAGGACTTTCCTTTAATGCAAGTCAAATTTGGACTAAAAGTAAAATTACCATCTGTTTTCTTAAATTCAACATCATCTGTTCCATTCAGGACGAAGACTTAAAATTACCTCGTATTCATTTTGTGTGTCTGAAAACCTAAATAGGGATCAAGAACCAAACTGGTTGCCAGGTCATCGTTTTCACACAGTTCCTTGGCAGACATTCCAGAAGATGGTACATATCGACTCTGTCCTTCGAATCCAGAACTACCATTACCTGTGGGGGAAAAAAAAGAAAAGTAACTCAAATTGAAAAGTACTGAACTCTACCTAAAAACCATTTTGCTCTATTACCAGCTTAAGCTAATAATCAGGAAGTGAAATTATTTTATTCAGTCATAATAATCAAGAATTAAGAACCTTTCACATGAACAGAAAACCAAATACAATGAAGTAGTCCAGTGAAAAAGAGCACTCCTAGTAGCTACTGACACTATCACCAGGCTTCCCAGAATGAGTCTGGGTGGTTGACCCCTGCCTCCCCGCGAGAACAGCTGAGAGATGGCGGGGCAGGGTTCACCACCACAGCAAGGGAGCAGAAGGGCCGCTTCAGGCTGGGCTGAGGGCACCAGGGTGACAAAGACGCGACATAGACACTCTGCAGAAAGTGCCGCAGGGTCATCTCCACTGCCGGAAAAAGTCCTGAGGGGCTCACTCATGCCAGGTGCCCCATTTTGGGCGAATGAGCACTCACCACCCCCATATCCTGGTAACAGAGGCCCAGAGGCTGACGAGCTTGTCTGCCACAAGAGCTGGAGTACAAGCGGGGAAAGAAGTGGAGAGACCGACAGGACTATTTCTAACTAACCTGCGTGAAACAGATTTTGAGTGAATGGATAAAAATAGGGAAGCAACTGAAATAGGATCTTTATAAAACTTGATAGAAACAGCATCTGCTATTATTCAATCTAGCACTTACATGGTGACTTCCTGGCCTGTCTATTCAACATACTGGAGCGGACGGCATGTAACTGGGCTTCACTGTGGAAGAAAAACGGAAAGGAGAGGGACTGTTTGAGTGGAACTCCACCCGAGCTGACCTAAGCCACAAGCCCACGTCACGGAGTCTTTTCAGGGGCCAGCATGGGCGGCACTGAGGCCCCGGCAGACAGAGCAAGTCTCTCAAAATGAAGACATGGAAGAATGAGAGACAGTGAGAGATGGGACATTTTCAGCCCCTCTTTCAAAAAATTAAATAGACACTTAACTGTAATTCCCTGCCAAAGGGGAGCTGTATGCTTTGTAGTTAAATTCTTGACATATGTGAAAAGCTGTCATTATTTTTTAAAACTTTTTTTTTTTTTTTTTGGTGGGACCCTCGCCGGTGGCCGGGGATCGAACCGGCACTGCAGAGGCCGCGGGCAGCCTCGCAGCCCAGCGCTCAACTGCTGTGCCACCAGGGGAGGCCCTAAAACTTCTTAAAAATATGGTCCACGTACCATAAAATCCACCCATTTCAAGCACACAATTCGATGGTTTTTAAGGTTATTTACAGGGTTGTGTAACCATCACCCACAGAGACCCTGTGGCCCTCGGTGGTCACCTGCGCGCCCCTCCAGTGCAGTGCACCTGCCTTCTGTCCCCAGGAGCTGGTTGGCCTACAAATCCCACGCAGATGGGCCCCAGAGATGGGGGGCTTCGCGCTGGCCCCCTTCCCACAGCAGCGTGCTCCCAAGGCTCGCTCACGTCATGCCACACGCCAGGGCTTCACTCCTCGTGGCTAAGGAAGGGCCTCATTTGGTCCTTTTTCGCGGGCTTCCACTTTCGGCATTATTGATGTTCCTGTGAGCACTCACGCAAGCTCTTGGGCCTGTGGCCCACACGGTGACTCTGCCTAGCCTTCTGCGGGCTGCCCGACGGTGCTCCAGAGCGGCCACACCACTTCACGTTCCCAGCAGCAGCAGGAGGCTCTGGTTCTTCGGATCATCTCCGGTACTTATCATTGTTCTTTGACGCCGGACGTGCCAGTGGTCGTTGAGTGGTGCTTTGTGGGTATGATTTTTGTATTTCCCAATGACTAATGATTCTGAGCGTTTTGAGTTCGGGCCATCTGACACACCTGTCTATTCAGACCTCTGCCCATTTCTAAGTGGGGTTTGTCACTCTCTGCTAACTTATAGCTTCCTGGTTATCAGTCCCTTACCAGACTCTGAAATTTGAAAAAATCGTCCCTCTTTCTGTGACGTGTCATTTTACCTTTTCTTTTTTAAAGATTTATTTATTCATGTGTACAGAAGCTGGGGTACAGGCCAGAGTTATGGGGGGGGGGCTGGAAGGATTCACCAGAGACAGAGCGGGGAGCAGAACAGGCAGACTGACAGAAGTACACTGCTGAGGGGAACAGTGGGCAAGTCAGGAGAGGTCTGCTGTGCCATGTGGATTGCTCCCTGGCCAGCAGGGGATCGAACTCGTGCTGCAGTGGCTACGGACAGCTTCACAGGTTGCATCTTAACCCCTTGTACCACCAGAGAGGCCCCATTTTACGTTCTTGATAGTTTCCCCTAAACCAAGAATTTTACAGCTTTATTTATTTATTTATTTATTTATGCATAGAAGAGCTGGGGTACAGGCCAGAGGTGCAGGGGTGAGAGGGTTCACCAGAGACAGAGTGGGGAACAGAACAGGCAGATTGAAATCCACTGCTGTGGGGAGCAGTGGGGAGACAGGAGAGGTCTGCAACCTGGCCAGGGATCAAACTCAGGCCACAACGGTGATACTGCTGAGATTTAACCACTATGCCATCAGGGAGGCCCAGAATTCTACAATTTTAATTTCAATTAATCTTTTTTTCCCTTCTTGTTCCTTGGGCTTTCCAGTGTCAAATCCAAGAAACCACTGCCTAGTCCCAAATCATGGATATATAGACCTATGTTTTCTTCTAGGGAGCTTTAAAGTTTGTTTTTAAAAAGATTTATTTACACAAGATCTGGGGTGTAGGCCAGACGCGCAGGAGGGTGAGAGAATTCACCAGACAGAGTGGGGAGCAGAACAGGCAGACTGACGAAATACACTGCTGAGGGGAGCAGCGGGCGAGACAGGAGACGTCTGCCGCACCATGTGGGTATCTCCCTGGCCAGCCAGGAATCGAAACCACACTGTAGAGGCTGTGGACAGCTTCATAGCATTGCGCTCAACCCGCCGCGCCACCTGGGAGGCCTAAAGTTTTAACTTTTAAAGTGTTTAATTCATTTTGAGAGTTTTTACACAGCGTGAGTCAGGCCCAATTTCATTCTTTCCCCACGTGTCTCCGTCCTTATCAAAAATCAACTGACGGCAAGCATGTGGCTCACTTCTGACTCTCAAGCCTACCCCAAAAGCCCATGCACCTGCCACCCAACACCACCTTGACTCCTGCCGCTGACCCAAGATAGCTCAAAATCAAGGTGTGCGAGTGCCCCAAGGCTGTTCTTTCTCAAGCCTGCTCTTGCTATTCTGGGCTCCTTGGATTTCCAGTAAGAATTTTAAATTAGTTTGATGTCTGCAAAGATGTCAGTTGAGATTTTGACAAGGACACAGTCATCTAACGTGAACAATACTGTCTTCCAAACAAACATGGATGGTGTCTCATTTATGTCTTAATTTCCCTCAACACATATCATTAAATTTATTGCCAACTACTTATTCTTTCTAATGCCATTGTAAATGAAATTTTGGGATCATCTATCACAAGAAATATACTCGATTTTTGTATATTGACCTTGTATCACTCGCTGAACTCATCAGTTCTAAGTAGTTTTTTAAAGATTTATTTATTTACACAAGCACTGGGTACAGTCAGAAGTGCGGGAGGGTGAGAGAATTCACCAGAGCCAGAGCGGGGAGCAGAGCAGGCAGAAGGACCGAAGTACACTGCTGAGGGGAGCAGCGGGCGGCAGGAGAGGTCTGCGCGCCATGTGGGACCCTCCTCTAGTGGCCGGGGAACAGCCGGGGATCGAATCGGCACTGCAGAGGCTGCGGGCAGCTTCGCAACCCAGCGCTCAACCGCTGCGCCACCGGTGAGGCCCTTTTTAGCGAATTCTTTAAGATTTCTAACCATGTCATTCTTACATAGATTGTTTAACTTCTTTCTTTCCATTTTGGATGATTCTGTAAGTTCATTTTCTTGCCGTACTGCTGTGGGTGGTTAGAATAAAAGTGGTGAGAACAGGTAGTCTCATTCCTGACCTTACAGGGAACCATTTAGTCTTTCATCAATAAAGATGACATTAGCTGTGGGCTGGTGCACAGCCCAAGTTGAGGGATTACCTGCGGTTCCTCCCGTGTGCAGTGTTTTTATCCTGCGCCTGTGGGGATAATCGTGTGGTTTGTGTCTTTCATCCTGTTGCTATGATGTATTACACTGACTGGTTTTCAGAAGCCAAACCAACCTTGCGTTCCCAGCACAAATCCCACCTCGTGATACTGCAGAATCCTTATCATTTGTTGCTGGATTTGGTTTTGCTGAGGACTACTATGCCCACATTTATCAGACACACTGATGGGTGGTTTCCTTTTTCTGTGATGTCTCTGGTTTTAATAGCAGGTTAATACTGGCCTCATCAAATGAATCAGGAAAGTGTTCCCTTCCTATGCATTTTTGGAACAATCTCTGAAGAACTGGTATGAATTCTTACTTAAATACCCACTGTATTAATCAATAAAGCCATCTGGACCTGAGACTTCCTTTGTAGGTAGAGTTTTTTTTAAATTACTGAGTCAATTTTGTTACTTGGTTTTTTCAGATTTTGCATTTCTTCTTGAATAATTTTAAAGATTTATTTACTTATGCATACAAGAGCTGGGATACAGGCCAAAGGTGCCGGCGGGCGGGTGGGTGAGAGGATTCACCAGAGACAAAGTGGGAACAGAACAGACAGACTGAAATACACTGTTGAGGGGAGCAGCGGGTGAGACAGGAGAGGTCTGCTGCGCCATGTGGGTAGCTCCCTGGCTGGCCAGAGATCAAACTGGTGCTGCAGAGACTGCGGATAGTTTCATAGTGCGGTGCTTAACCCCTTGCGCCACCTGGGAGGCCCTCTTCTTGAATAAATTTTGCACTGGGTACAGTCAGAAGCGCGGGAGGGTGAGAGAATTCACCAGAGCCAGAGCGGGGAGCAGAACAGGCAGAAGGACCGAAGGACACTGCTGAGGGGAGCAGCGGGCGGCAGGAGAGGTCTGCGCGCCATGTGGGACCCTCCTCCTCCGGTGGCCGGGGAACAGCTGGGGATCGAACCGGAGCTGCAGAGGCCGCGGGCAGCTTCGCAACCCAGCGCTCAACCGCTGCGCCACCGGGGAGGCCCAGATAGCTTGTTATTTTATAGGAATTTGCCAATTTTAAGTCAACACTGTTGACTGTTGGTATGTGGTTATTCACAGTACTACTACAAGCCTGTCATATCAGACCTTCTTTCATTCTTGTTTCTTTTTTCTGACTGGATAAAATAGGCAGTAACTTTGTGTGACTTTAAGGTGTACAGCATGTTACTTTGGTAAACTTATGACTGCTGTTGTAATGCTTTTCACATTACACAATTATATTCAATGTACTTACTCTATGCAGCCTATGGCTTATTTTAGAAATTATTACAAGTTTGTACCTTAAACGTGCTCAATCTTTTCCCCCCACACCTTTCTGCTATTTCTATTTCTGCTATTACCATTTTACTATTTTTTTTTCTTCCCTAAACAGATTCGATGCCACATGTATGTGGCATTATACAGTACTTGTCTGTCGGACGTGTCTCTTTGTATAAGGTGCTCATCCATTCACGCGGTTCCGTTCTCGTGGCCGAGTAATATTCCACTGCGCATCTACACTCCATTGTTTATCCACTTGTCTACTGACGGACGTCTGAGCGGTTCCTACAGCCTACCTACTGTGAATAATGCTGCGATAAACATTTATTTCACTGAATTCCTGTTTTCATTTCCTTTCGGTAATACACCCAGAAATCGAATGATAGACCTGTTTTTATTTTTATTTGTGGTATCTCCATATTCTTACGTATAGTGTTGGACTATCATTCTTGATTCTGGGGTCTCCTCTCTTTCATGACCAGTCTCACTTAAAGATTTGCCAATTTTGTTGCTCTTTTCAAAGAATCAGCTTTTAGTTTTGTTGACTTTTTCGTCTTTCTGTTCTCCATCCTATTAAATTCTACTCTATTATTTCCTTCATTCATGTTTTGGGTTCAGTTTGCTCTTCTTTTTCTGATGAGTTAAAGTGAAAGGTCAGGTTACTGATCAAGATCTTTCTTGTCTTGCCAATTAGACATTCACAACTATAACTATTCCTCTAAGTAGTGCTTTACTGCACCCCATCCATTTTGATACATTACATTCTCCTTTTCATTCAACTTCAAGTATTCTCCATTTCTCTTATGATTTCTTCTTTGGCTCACTGGTTATTTTGGAATGTGTTGTTTAGTTTCTATTTGTGAATTTCCCAAATTTCTGTCCATTTCCAATTCTACTCCACTGTGACCATTCTTTTTCTTTTTAAAAAGATTTATTTTTATTTATTTATGCATACAAGAACTAGGGTGAAGGCCAGAGGTGTGGGGGCTGAGAGGATTCACCAGAGACAGTGGGGGGAGCAGAACAGGCAGATCTACTGAAATCCACTGCTGGGAGCAGTGGGCAAGACAGGAGAGGTCTGCTGCACCATGTGGGTAGCTCCCTGGTCGGGGATCAAACTCATGTTGCAGAGGCTGCCGATAGCTTGATACTGCTGACACTTAACCCCTTGTGTCACCAGGGAGGCCCAGACCATTTGCATTTTGTTGATCTGCCTAGCTATTCTAAGCACAACTGAAAGTAGATACTGAAGTCTCCAAATTATTGCTGAATTATATTTTTCTCATTTCAACTTAGCCTTCTCACCGTGTATGGTGGGGCTCTGATGTCAGATGAAGTCACCGCAGCTCCCCTACAGAGGAACACTACTCTGTACTCCCTTCTCTACTCACCGTGTCTCTCACTCTGCACCATTCTTGCCTGGGAACACCTAGCAGGACTCTATCCACCTTTACACTCTCGGCTTTTTCCAACATCTTCCTCTGACTCTACCTACGCTTGGCAAAGTGTAGTCTATATAATGTTGATTTTCTCATTCTAATTTTTCTCCAACAAAGTAAACTAATTAAGACCTTTTTGCATCACGATGCACAAAGGTAGATCAAGAGCCACTTGCTAAAAATGAGCAAGACCAAAAAACAAATTTAAGAGCTGCCTAATTCATTGGCCAGAACCAACAGCCCTGCTGTAGGCACTATACTTCCTTCAGGTTCCCACTAAAGACTCCGAGGATGAGGGAGCGGCCTGTGCGGAGGAGAAGCCATTCCGTCTCAGGTTCTCACCTAACGCAGCAGTGACCTAAATCCATGATAGAAAGCTTACAGGCATCCTGGGACCCACGACTAGCACAGCCCATGAGAGGAGGAAGTGAATCAGAAGCGGAGCAATCTACCTGTAACCCAGCAAACCCCAGGCTGATTCAAATCTACGGGGAGCACGCCAATTCCAAGAGCAGCTCAGGCCAAGTTAGCCTCGGGAAACGCACGACACTGAAGACTCAGTCTCCCTCACCATGGCCACAAAACCCTGGGCGCTGCTCACACAGCTGCCCACTCAGGCTTATGCCCACCCTAGGGCACTTGACTATGAAATCTCTGTCAAACCCACAAGTTCCCCAACTCTCAAGTAGTAGCCTTGTCTCACCAAGAGCGACAGGGGTAAAAAGAAAGTAACTGCTTATCAACAGTGCGTCACTGTCAGGATCAAGCGCTGATCACCCTCTCTAAGCAGAAGAAATGGCAAAGATTGGTGAAGCGGCTCGATTCCCATTAATCATGTTAAGTTAGAGTTAATTATTTATAATACTCTAAGTTTTCAAAGAAATATACATAAAATATAAAAAAATACACTCTGAACTTACAAGAAATTCAATAGCAGTAGCTTAAAAATTTGTGTAGAACAGATGAAACATGGAGCTATAAATGCCACAACATAGACAGCTGTGGGTATAAAAGCATCATGAAGGTCATCACATCAAGCATTAAAATTGAGTTTTTCACCATGATGAGAATAGCAACTGACATGACTTTGGAACCATAAAAAAACCCACGCCGTTACCCACGAGCACACAGAACAGGCACGTGGAGACAGCAAAGACCAGAACGCACGCCACAGCGGCGGCGCAGGGAGGCGGTACGTACATCTGCTCGACCTCCGCTCCACCACGCCCCTGCCGGCCTTCACGGCGTCCTTGCCCGCGGGCTGTGGCTTGGCCTGGGTCTGCGGAGGGTCACTCGACAACTTGCCTCCACTCCTCCTGCCATTCACCACCATGTTCTTGGATTCTCCCAGCCACTTCATGCCCCCGGACAGCCTGGCCCAGGTGCATTTAGTCACGCTCTTCACACAGCTTAGAGAGTAATTTCAGTGTTCTCTCCTGACAGAAACAAAATATGAAAAACAAAATGGGGAGGTAAATACATAAAAGGCCACGTTCACCCACCCGAGAAAGACGCAAAGTGTGAAGGTCACCCGGAGACTGAGGTCCCACCCTCTGAAGGCCACGACGGCTGTGAGGCCTGCAGGTCTCCCTCTCCCTCCCTCTCCCCCACGGTGAGAACCGGTTCCTGACTTCTTACAAACTCAGCAGAGCACGGGTGATAAATGATTTTAAGTAGCCACAGAAATGGCTACCTGGGCAAGCCCTAAATGACATTCCACACAAACACAACCGCTGGTTTTCACTTGACTTCGGATCCCTGTCCCGTCACAGGAACTTCGGGTGAATCCACGGGGTGAAAGTCACATTTGGCTAAAAAGATCAAAACTGCGCTTGATGAGGACGCGCTTACAACTGTCCCCCAACAGGCACCTCCACCTCCTTCGCTATTCCAGCCCCACTCGGCCTCCGCTGGGCCCCACTCTCCTGTCTTCTCGCAGGCGGCACTGAACCCAGAGAAATGCTGCTGCTGAAATAACAGGAAAGGGCACGAGAAACCACCAGGACAGCAATTATAAGTTAAACATTTTCTATTTTAAAAAGTTATTAAATTAAACATAAAACCATGTTGGTGATCAAAGAGCCTGTCTCGCGCGTGGACGGCAGGTGCAGAACTCGGGAGCAGGCCCCCTGAAGAGCAAAGGCCCTGCCCAGGACACGCTCACTTTCCCCTGCACCTGGTATGCGACCACCCACCTCTTTTCTCTGGTCTACCCCTTCCTGTTCCAGGAGGTCTCCTGGATGCTCACTGCCCAGTCCAGCGAGACGCCCCACTGAGCGCTCAGGTCAAACTTCTCAAGTCCCTAAGGGCCGCCTAACTCTCCGCCTCCTTAACTGACCAAGACCCCCTGAGGCCAGAAGTTCCATTTCTTTTCTCTAACCCCCTCCCAGCACAGCGCAAGAAGCAGACACACACGGCTGAGCCGCCAGCCAACAAGCTTGTGCCAGGCCACCTGACAGAACCGGCCCTCAGCTTTAGACTGACAAATAAGGCTCCAAGTCCCCGTCCCTGCCTGCTGGAGGGGGGGGCCTCACTGTACCTCTGGCTCACCCCTAGTTCTGCACCCCACACAAGAAGCAAAGTGCTTTCTGGTCTTTCAGGCAACCCGGATCACCGACGCCCACAAAACCCACGGCTGTCGAATGATGCCCAAAGAACGTGTTTTTAAGGCTCTCGGGTCCTGACATGCCGAACACGCCCCAGTGCGGCGACATGGAACAGAAGGAGCAAAGGGGCTCTGGACAGATTTAAGAGTCATATCCCCACAGGCAGCCTTACACCCCTTAAGGGAGAACGTGTGAAAAGACATCACATCTGAAAACACCGGCTCACGGGGCAGGGGGCAGGCGGCGGTGAAAGGAACACTGGGGGGAAGGGAGACTGGGATCTTCGTTTGTTTTCAACAAGAGGAAAAAAACAGAAGTTGCACGTTCCACAAGGACACAGGCAAATGAAATTCTGGGCCTGGGGATGACGAGAGCAGCTCCACCTAGGCGTGCGCCCGAGGGCTCGCGGGCAGTTGTGGGAGTGTCTCCCCAGAAGGATGTTCTGTGGCCTGGGCAGGACGCCCCAGTGCGGTAACGTGTGGACTCAGCAAGGCCTCGCCCTGTCTGATGTTCAGGCTCCTGGGACGCAGCAGGTCTGCGCTCCGGGCAGGAAGCAGCATTCCGGAGAGGCCCGGGCTGGGGCACCCACAGAGGCCGCAGGTGGGGCGGTAGCACACCCCGCAGGTTCCGGCGGCAGGTGCAAACACGGCAACAGTCCACAAGAGACACGAGTCACTGAAAAGCCGCTCAAGCAGCAGCACGCAGGAGACGTCCACGTACACCACGGCCCCCGGGTGGGGGCCTGCACGCACACACTGCAGGTCACGCAGCAAGGCCATCTCGGAGGCATGGCACCCAACATTTGTAAAAGTTTTAAAGTTTCCCTACACAGGAAACCTATTTATTTATAATCAGGAGGGGAACAAACAAGCCAGCGAACCCCCATGCCTGAGCGGGACTCAAGGGCGCAGCGGCGCTGTGCTGGCAGCCATGCCCGGCGACAAGACCGCGCCCGCCCCTCCGATGCCCCGCGGACCCCGGGCTGCCCGGCATTGGTGACTTCTGCGGGCACTCCTCACGCCCAACTAGAGAGCTGTGGTTCCAAACCATTTTTACTGCTTCAAGACAGGCTTTTTTGTTGAATGTTCTAAACACAAACCAAGATTTCAAAAATTGTCAGAAAAATGAAAACATTCTGAAGGATGATCAAGAATCGTGACAATTTCTGGGACATTTACCAAGCGCTGCCCAAGTGATGTGCGCCCCGAACCGGGTGACATGATTCCTCCTGGAGAAGTCACCCCACGCCAGGACGGGCCGAGGGGTTGGGAAGGAAGAGGAGGCGTAGTGGAAGGGCCAAGGGTTGGGGGGCCGGAGCAGGCTGCGGGAGGACGACACCTCACCCCACCGAGCCGGCGACAGCAGCGCCTCCGCAGCAGTGTTGGCCCACGACGTGGTCTCTGTTCAGAAGGATCAGCCTTTCCAAATGAGCACGCGTCACCTGGCCCGCTATCACCAGACCAGAGCTGTCCCCGAACTCTACGGCTGAGCCGTGCCCCGCGCCACCAACTGCACAGCAAAGAGCTCCTGCTGCACGATACAAAGGCCCCGTTATTCAAGATACCATTTCTGCTGTCTGCGCCCAGCTCTGGTCGAGTCCGACCCACAGGCACCCCGGGTCGCCAACGTAGATAGCCCGGGCGTCACGCCCCCAGACCGGCCAGGGGTGGGGCCTGAACCCTACAGCCCCTCCTGTGCATTCTGGACTCTGCGGCAGGCGACAGAGGCTAGAGATGCCCTCGTGCCTCTTGGAGAACCCTGTGCCGGGCGCGCGATCGGCTGCGCTAACTGCCCGGAGGGGTCGGGAAGTGGCCTGAGACGCGGCCCGAGACGCCAGGTCCGCATCTGGAGCCGCATGTGTTCGTTTACAAGGAAAGGGCCTCTGGGTGTGGCTGAGTTATGGATTTTGGGATGAGTGAGATTAGCGGGTGGGCCCCAAATACCATCACAAGCGCCCCTGTAAGAGAGGCAGGGGGCACGGGGCCGCCCCAGGAGAGCCAAGACTGGCGCCACAGGCCAAGGACCGCACAGCCTGATGCTGGGGAGGCAGAAGCAGATGCCCCCAGGGTCTCCACAGGGCGTCCCCCCCATTCCTCCACAGCCCCGGGACCCCAGCTGTGCAGGGTGCTGCTGCGGCCCCAGAGGCGACCAGCGCCAGACGACAGGAAAGGGGAGCAGGTGCCCAATGTGTCTTGGGACAGGATCTTAAATGCTCTTTTCAGGGGAGTGACCCCCGCTGTGAACCGAACACGACACAGCACCGAGGCTCCCCCACGGCACGCCAGCCCCGCGCCGAGCCCACAGGCGGGCCCGACCACTTGTGCGTTCACAGGAAGCTTCCACCCGAACAAAAACAAAGCAGCAGAGCCCTTCCCCGAGCAGAAGAGCGTGGGGCGCGCTGCCCGCCAGGGAAGGCGCCACCCCAGAGCACCCTTACTCGCTCAGCAGAGCCAGCACCTCCTGGCCCGCCCGGCGTCGTGGCCACAGGCCCTGCACTGTCAAGATGGCGCTCCTGGGCCTCGCGGCCACAGTGAACACAGCGGCTGTGCAGATGCGGCTGTTGAGGGAACTTCTGCCCAAAAATACTTGCTCTTACACCTCTCGGGTCTGACCCACCTGCCCGCCTTCATCTGTCAGTTTTCTCTGAGACCCAAACGGCATTTCCTGTTCTCAGCGGCAGCGGCCTGGGGCAGCCCGCGGCCGGCAGACGGAGACAGGCGGCACAACGACAGACCGAATCCTCCTGGGCTGAGACAGGAGCGAGGGGGACCTTCCAAAAGGGGTTCTTGGCCTGGGTCTTCAAAGCCAAGACAGTTTGCAGGTGGTAGGCTGGGCAGGGTGTGCCCCAGGTCAGGAGGTGGGGGAGCCCCCGCCCACCCGGCCCCGCCCCAGGATGCCCACTGCCTCACCAGCAGAATGCAAAAGGGCCTCAGACCTCACCTGCCCGACACGGGACGAAAGCAGAAACTACTGATCAAAACAAAGCTCCTCAACTGTCCCCTCTTTTCAGAGGAGAAACTGAGGCAGAAACAAAGAGGGCCAGGCACGTGGAGGCATTATTCACGAAATTACACCACGAGGCAGAAACATCACCTCCATTCCTCAGGCTACACAGCCCACCCCCCCACCCCCCAAAAAAATCACATTACCACATCCACTTAAAAAACGCAAATTTTCAAAAGAATGAAAAAGGACAGGAGTGCTACTGACCACGCAGGGCGTCGGCTCCTGAAGAGACGGAATGTGACTTGTGCCCACGGTGTATTAAAAAAAAAAAATCCCACACCAAACTGCACCTCACATTTCAACATTCAGAGTCCCTCACCCCGATTTTGTCATAGTGGAATTCAGCTTGTGATACAGTTCCGTTTTTAATAACAGCTCCCTTCATTTGGGGCTCTCGGTCACTGAATTACTTCTCACGCTCTGAAAGGAAGATACTGGTAGGTCAGCTGGTGGAGAATGTGCTCCATTGTGCTGGAGAGAGCACCCCACTGGAGCCAGAGCAGGGGATTCAATGCTACAGTGGGGCCTCCCTGGTGGCACAGTGGGTTCAACACCGCACTATGAAGCTATCCCCAGCCTCTGCAGCACAAGTTCAATCCCCGGCCGGGAGCTACCCACATGGCGAGCAGACCTCTCCTGTCTCCCCGCTGCTCCCCTCAGCAGTGGATTTCAGTCAGTCTGCCTGTCCTGCTCCCCGCTCTGTCTCTGGTGAAACCTCCTACCCCCTGCACCTCTGACCTGTACCCCCAGTTCTTGTATGCCTAAATCAAAGCAGACACAGGTGGTGACGACAGGCAGGAGCTGGAGGAGTCAGAAGTCTCCCGAGGGGCGGCGGTGGCCTGCAGCGGAGCAGGACTACACGGGAGGGCGGGCTGGCGGGAAGCCTAGAGGGCACTACCAGGCCAAACTGTCCTAAGGCGCCAGAACTCAGGAGAGTGGGCCTGCGGGGAGACCAGCACTGATGTAAGGGGTTCACAGCCTACCAAGATCCCGGCGCTATCTTGATTCAAATTGCAGAATTTCAGAGCAAAAAGCTATCGATTACAGAAACATGGCTCAGGGAGGGATGTCATCGGCCCAAAGTAATTCCCTCCTCTGCCAAGACGACGCGCTGTCCGAACAGGACACCAACGACAGCCGACGCAGCGCGGGCACTTCAACGGAAGGGGGAAGGGGAGGGAAGGGAGAAGGAACGGAACGGGACGCCCCACCAGCACTCTGGACCCAGGAGGGACGTGCCCAGCAGGGCGTCCAACACACACCGTCCACTAAATGCTCGGGACACGTGAGAGGAAAAGCGAAGGCTGGGGGCCCAGCACTCCTGGACACAACAGAGACACCTCTAAGCCCTAGTCTGCTGACCCCCACGCCACACCTTCTCTTACCAGGCCCCAGACCCTCTGGCATCGCATCACTCACTCCCACGGGGTCCTGGAGCGTGCGTTAGGGAAAAACACTGGGCCTCACAACACAGCCACGCGTGACCAATACTAAAGAACACAGCACAGATACCCGCGGCAGCCCACCCTCCAGCCGCGAAAATACAAAAAAGCAACACAGCGTTGCTAGCAGTAGAGAAGTCAGATGCCAGGAGACAGGTGCGCTCCTGAGGCCCTTTTGGGGGGGGGGGGTGCAGACCACAGAGAGGACGTGAGGAGAGCGGCTCCTCGGTGGACGAGCAGGGCAAGAAGATCAAAGGCAAGATGAAAACAGTCACTTCTGGGGGCTCAACACACCCCTGGCATTTACACCCACCAAAAGTTTCTCAGGCAACTGATTTGGCCTCCGCCTGGACCCGAGTGAGGTGTGCTGCTGCTGCTGCTGCTGCTGCTGCTGCTTTAAGGTGAGCGGGTGTCCACAGGCTTCTGAGCCCCAGCTCCAGCAGCTGCCAGCAGAGGGGGCGGCGCCTCCTCCAGGCCAGGGCGCGCCAAGTCGCCACAGGACGGATGTACACGCACGCACGCGCACGCCCCCCTCCACATGCAGCACGCAAACACCTCGCTGTTAGGAGGGCTCCTCAGAGCTCTGGAGGCTGCACCAGGCACTCCAGCCAGGCCAGCATGTGGCCCGCCTCCCCACCGCCTGCACCGTTCGCAGCACTGAGTGCCGTGTCCAGGGGACACCAGGCGCACCTCAGCTCCTGCTGTCAGAAACAGGGCAGGGCTGCCAGGTGAGTGGAGGCCAGGCACCTGGAGAGAGACTGACCCCCGCAGGGGGCCTGCTGCCTAAGCCGCAGCGCCTGTGGACACTAGGAGTCAGGAGGGATGTTTGTTTCACCCCAACAGGGAGGAATGAAGGCTCGCCCGCTGGGCAGCCCCGTGAGGCAGGTGAGATGGCTATCACCACCACGCCGGAACGGATGGGGCTTCGTGAAGTCAAAGAACCGTCAGTTAGAGGCTGGGTCGGGGACCGGTGGCTACACTGCAGCCGGCGATGCCGCCTCTCAGGCCTGCGTGCCTTCAGCGACCGGAGGCTTCCCGCCGGGGAACGCTTGGGGCGAGCTCGCTTTCTGCTCCACGGTGATGCTGTGCCAGGTGAGCTACGTCCCAGGACGCGGTTGGCCAGTCAGGGCACACAACCCTTAGGGTCAGCCCCTGGGGCAGCGGCGAGCCCGTGCTCAGTCCTCACGAGCCAGCCCGGCCAGAGGAAGGGAGAGCAAGCTGACACGGCCTCTCCAGATGGGCCCCGCGCATGACTCGACCTCAGAGCATGGTCTCGATGGGTCTTAGACGTGAGACGCAGGGACTGGCGGTGGCCTCGTGCCAACGGAGCCAGGCGCCCGCTTCTCCCCAGGCCTTTCATCCAGCCCAGAACCCCGCGTTGATGTGGCAGTCGGGAGCCAGACCCCAGAGCCTGCCCACTCGGACACCAGCCGGCCCTGGCTGGCAGACACGGGAGCCAGAGGGCACGGATGGGGTGGCGCCCGCACGCTCGAGTGCCGCAGAATCTGGAGCATCACCCACGGGGACTCTGCCCTTCCGTGAGCCTGTTCCAGAGGTAACGCCGGCCATGGGGCTGCCCGCGCCGGCTCCACCTCGGAGTCCGCACGGAGATGTCAGGAGCCCGCCTGACTCACGCCCCGACCACGTGGGATCAAAAGCAAAGTCTCAAGAGCTAACGCTAGACGTTAACGTGGATTTAGAGAAATAAATCAGGGGGAGTCTCCCTGTACGGATGGGTCCTCTCTGCAGCACGCCTCTTACATAGGAAAACCCGTGGACGCGCTGAAAAGAAGATGCACGTGACTGAAACCCGGAAAGACGCCTGTACACAGAGCAGACACGTCCTAAGCCAACGCGAGCCGACTCGGGGGCTCTGCTCTGCGGGGCGGTCGGCGCTGGCAGCGGCCTCACGACGCCGCGCGGAGGGGCGCCAGGCCCAGGCCCGCCTGCTGGCTGCGAGGCCGGCTGGGCTGCGCTCGGGGCAGAGCACCGGGTCTGCGAGGCTGCAGGGTGGACCCGCTCCTCGGCATAAGAGGCTCCACCGGGGAGCTCTCAGGTCGGGCCCCAAGGCCGGCGCCCCCGGGCAGGCCTCCCTCTTCGCCTCGCGGCGCTCGCAGCTGGGCCATGCGCTTCTCAGAGCCCCGTTTCCACAGACCTGTCAGTCAAACCAGCTTTCTTCCCCCCCACCCCAAAAACACTAGAAGTCAGACTGAGGAGGAAGCTGCACCGCATCCATAACACTCACTCCGGCCCGGAGCCTGCCCGCCGCCTGCCCGCACTCCCCGCGCCGCCCACAGCCCGAGTCGGGGCAGCCCCGCCCGGGCAGACGGGGACGGGCTCCCAGCGGCCGAGGGCGGACAGTCCCAACCCCGCCCGCAGGAGGCGGCTCTGGGCGGCGGGGCAAGAGCGGCGCGCCGAGGGGGCCCAGGAGCAGCGGCCGGGCGGGCGGGGCCACAGGCCCCGGCCCGCGCCCCCCGCAGACGCGCGCGCGGAGGGCAGCCCAGGGAGCGCAACCCGCCGCGGGAAAGGGGGAGCCCGCCCGCCCGCCCGCCCGCGGGGCCGCCGCGCCCCGTCCACCTCTGCGCCCCCGGACCGCCCCGGGCCGGGCACCCGGCGAGGGCGCATGCAGAGCCCCGGGTCCGGCCCCAGAGCCTGGGCGCAGCGGAGCCCCTCCCGGGGCGCCCCTCCCGGGGAGCCGCGAGCCCGTGCCCGGGCGCGAGGACGGCGTCAGGGCCGACCCGCCGCGCCCACCCCGGGGCTGCCGAGCGGGCGCGGGTGAGCGAGGCCCCTCGGGGGGCCGGGAGCCCCGCTCTGCGCCGGGACCGGGGCGACCGACTCCGGAGACCCGCCGCAGGCCGGGGGGCCGCCCGCTCCCGGGCCTCTCCGAGGGAGCCCCTCGTACTGGGGGGCAGCGGGGGGCCCCGGGGCCCCGGGCCGGGGACACCAGCGAGGCCCGAGCCGGGGCGAGGACCCGCCCGCCCGCCCCAGGCGGCAGGAAAGCCGGGCGCCCCGCGGCCACAGCGGGCTCCGCCCCGAGCCCCTCGGGCCCGGCCCGGGCGCGCCGCCGCCTCAGCACCTGCCCGCGCCGCGGCGGCCCCGGCGTCCGCCCGCCGCCCGCGTCCCGAGCGCGTCCCCGGGCCGCGTCCTCCGCGGCGGCCCCGGCTTGGCGAGCGCGCCGGCCGGCCGGGGGGCGCCGGCATCTTGGGCGCCCGCTCCGGCCGGCCCGAGCCGAGCGCGGCGCCGGGCGCAGACTGGGCGCGCCGGCTCCCGGCCGCCCATTGGCGAAGCGGCCGCGCGGAGTCCCCCAATCGCGGCGCGGGGCTGCGCCCCTCGCGGCCGGCCCGGCGCCCGCTACCGCTCCCTTCCGGCCGCGGCGCCCACTGCACCCGCGCCCCCCGCCGCCGCGCCCCTCCCCCCGCCGCGCCCGCGCCCCCGCCGCCCGCCGCCGGCCGCTCACCGCCGCCGCCCGCCGCTCCGGGGCGCGCCGCCGCCCGCTGCCCGGCCGCCGCCGGGCGCCGCCGCCCGGGTCCCCGGAAAATTAATCACCAAAAAATAATTCCTCAGAAAAATGGAGAGTAAAATCCAAGATGGCGGCGCGGGCCGCAGCACCGCCCGCTCCCTCCGCTGCCGGGAAAAGAGTCCCGTCGCGACCGGGCCC